GGCAATACCCCGCATCTTTTTCCTCCGGAGAGAACTGAGATCGGCCCATAGCTATCGAGAAGGCCGTCAGGTGGCTGATCGGGTCGGCATTCCCTTCGTATGTGGGAATCTTGAGTTTGGTCGTACCCCGGATCGGGACTGATGAGATGCGACTCGTGAAGGGGTTGCGCTGCGCTTCTTCCAAAARGCGGTCYAGCTCGGGTGCCGAGCTGATTGCCCGATGGACCTTAGAATTAATGTCCCTTAGCCGGYCTTTCATTCCCTCGATCTCAGAATCTTGAGCCCGGGGTTGCATCCTTCGTTCTTTGGCTGAGGTCGAGTCGCGGTGTTGGGGGCTTMGACGAGCGGCTCTCGAGCTGCTCGGGTTCGCCAGTATCGGATCGATTGTTAGATTATCCAATCGTCCYGTCGTCTCGACTCTGGTTTGGRGCTCCGGGGTCGGAGACGAACTTCGTCGGGGCTGTGGTGAATTTTGATTTGACCTTGGTTGAAGCTGGTCCAGCTGTGCTCGGTAACCGGCCTGTACCGAGCTTAGAAGGTCGAGTCGTGAGTTGGTGGTGCGAGTCTGTGCTTCCTGACGATCAAAACGTTGCATGATGACCTCCATCATGGCTACAATGGGGTCCTGACTCGGGGCGACCGCTGCTTCTTCGGTCGRYGTTATTCTTYGCTCGGGCTCCGCTCGCCTTCCCTGGACGGCTATTGGTTGGACGATCTGAGGGCGATCCGGGGTGTCGAGGATAACCTGGTCGTCTAGGGCTCGCTCTTGCTGAATTCTGTCCATTTCCGAGWTTATATCGTGAGTTGGAGAATTTCTGTCCCCCTACCTGGCGCGCCAATTGTTGATCCAAGTGTTCGACAATAAATTTGTGTTCGGTAAAGGATCGGAAATTCCCYTTTAATGATGCTAACTCGGAAGCAGATTACAGCAAATTATATTGTACGTGATAGAGAGGACTGTGTATCGAGCTTGGAAGATATGAGGTCGTTGAATGAGTATTTGAGGTCGGAACTAGATGACGAGTATAAACTCTGCTAAGTTTTTCAGTGAACAGTTCTTATATTTCTTGATCAGTCGAACTCGATCAAGAGATTATTTCCTTTTTGGTGTCAGAGAATGTTTGTTTTTAGCTCTCAAATTCTTTTATGCTTGTCCTCAAATAGAAAAAATATATCTAAATCATGGGATGGGGACCTCTATTTATACTAATAAGTGGAGAGAATAAAGTGGGCTCGTTGGGCTTCCATCCTCTGGGCCGAGCTCGTCGGGCTTCTGCCTGCTAGGCTTCTCCGGAAATGGGCTTCTAAAATGACTATTGTTGAAGCCCATGCCCAACAAAAACGTTTGATTTTGAATCTCTGTTCTGTCGGAAACAAGTGCAACGCCCTCGAAGTCGAAGCAATCTCCATAGCTATTCTGAGAACAAGGAGAGGGGAAAAAAGGACTCAAGCTTCTCGTCGATCGATGGAAATATATATCAGAAGAAGGTTGATGCAAATAAGAGATTGGAAACTTGAGACAGAAACCCTAACAGAGTAGAGAGAGGCAATTTTGTGGAGATTTTGGGACCAAGTTAGTGATGAATACTGTATATATACTCTCTCACTCCTCTCTCTCCCCTACTACTCAGTCAGCGTTGGGCCCACGCTGGACACGTGTGTATTTGCGAATTGTTTTTTTTTTCATCTAATTTGATTTTTTTTATTTGTCGGCTTATCTATTTGGATTTAATTCTTTCTTTTAAATTTTTTTTTTCTTGATAATTGTATGTAATTATATTTGTTTGATTAATTGTTTTGAATCCTAATTTTTTTAAAAGTCCCCGTTTATGTTCATGAAATAGAGTATTTGCACTCAGTAGCAAGGAATTATGATGAAATTGTTCAGATGACAATGGCACTGTTCGATCTTTTACGGAGACAATTATGCCCCTATATTTTACTTCCTTAGGTAACCATAGTGTGTTGTAGTATAAGCAATAGCATAGGTTATGTGTGTCAAAACAATCTTAAGAAATCTTTTTCAAATTAAAGTTG